TTATTGGCTGTTATGATATTTTGTTTATTTCTGTCCTACAACCGCTGTCTATAATATTTCAGAGGTTGAACCCTCTAGCCAGTTGTACTATTGTTGGCTTTTAGGGCACTAGTTTGAGTTGGTTTATTTCTATCCTACAACCGTTGCCAATAGTCTTGCAGTAGCTGAACACTCTAGCCAGTTGTACTATTGTTGGCTTTTAGGGCACAAGTTTGAGTTGGTTTATTTCCATCCTACAACCGTTGCCAATAGTCTTGCAGTAGCTGAACACTCTAGCCAGTTGTACTATTGTTGGCTTTTAGGGCACTAGTTTGAGTTGGTTTATTTCCATCCTACAACCGTTGCCAATAGTCTTGCAGTAGCTGAACACTCTAGCCAGTTGTACTATTGTTGGCTTTTAGGGCACTAGTTTGAGTTGGTTTATTTCCATCCTACAACCGTTGCCAATATTCTTGCAGTAGTTGAACACTCAAATTTCCCGAACTATAACTGGCTATTAAACTTTAAGTTGTACTGGTTTATTCCCGTTTTAGAACAGCTGTTTGAGTAATTTAGTAGTTTTCGAGGAAATGTGTGTTCTGTTAACAAGCTTTAAGCTGTCATTTCACTTTACTGTGAAAGCTTTTAATTGGCGAGTCTTTAATTTGGCAGTCGTTTTTATATATAGTTTTGTACTTGACTCATCACTACGTGTACCAGCCTAATCACGATATTTAAACCCGCATATTTTATTAGAATACACTGATATTTATTAGCATATTTTCAATGTGAGAATTATCGGTTTAATTCAAAAGACAAACAAAAAATAGTCTGTCTTTCATAAATGCAGAACGTATTTATTGTGTTTGAATGTATATCATCGTCCAGCCGGCCAACGACTAAATTAAACAGTATCGTCTTCATCGATCAGCAGTCTCGGACTTAAATTGCGTCATCTGCAACGCGTTCGACACCAGAAGGTTTTCTTTACAACGGCTTCACTGATTATTGGATTTTACTCAAAATTATTGCCTCTTTCACCTATTGGGATTTTCAACTTTTCTTCTGCAACTTCTGCTGGCATTGTTCAAATTGTTTGAAATTGTTGAGACTGCTTTCGCGTTCATTTCCTTTCTTACAGTATAAAGATACAGGCTTAGCAACTATGGCTAAAAAAAAGGTTAAAACTGCTTATTAACTGGAAATCTTGAATCTCAAATTTCCTATTTGTCTTGTTTGTGCGAATTGATACGACTAAAAAAAACTATTTCTTGAATTTTATGGAGTTATACATTATCCGTCTATCCCCCATGAAATAATCCCCCAGAACAGTATTCATATATTATCAGTAATGTGTTCAGACACGGTGTTCTTTTGTATTTGCATAATATATTCTATTAGATTCGCTCAGTGAGAGAGATGGTATAGAGAATTCCGATCGCTTTGTTTCTCTGCCTGTTCTACTTTTCGAATGTGTGGTGAAGACTTCTCATGTAACGTAGCCCTAATGTAAAGTTTAACAATCTACCAGTTATTTTCAACAGAATAACACAGTTTTGTTCGGAATGAAACACGTCAAAACTCTAGATGAAAATAGCTTATGCGGAATAGTTCGAAATGGCATGTTGTTCTACATAGAATATGGAGATATGGTGTTCTAACCAGGATATATTATTCTAGATAGGATATGGTGTTCTAACCAGGATATATTATTCTAGATAGGATATGGTGTTCTAACAAGGATATATTATTCTAGGATATGGTGTTCTAACCAGGATATATTATTCTAGATAGGATATGGTGTTCTAACCAGGATATATTATTCTAGATAGGATATGGTGGTCTAACAAGGATATATTATTCTATATAGGATATGGTGTTCTAACCAGGATATATTATTCTAGATAGGATATGGTGTTCTAACCAGGTTATATTATTCTAGATAGGATATGGTTGTCTAACAAGGATATATTATTCTAGATAGGATATAGTGTTCTAACCAGGATATATTATTCTAGTTAGGATATAGTGTTCTACATAGAATATGGAGATATGGTGTTCTAACCAGGATATATTATTCTAGATAGGATATAGTGTTATACATAGAATATGGAGATATGGTGTTTTATACAGGATGTGATTTTCTAGATATGATATGATATTTTACACAGGATGTAATATTCTACTAGAACACCATATCCTGCGTAGAATACCATATCCTATCTGGAACATCATATCCTGCATAGAACACGATTCTATGCAGAATATGGTGTCATACATAGATTATGGTGTTCTATGCAGGATGTGATGTGCCAGATAGGATATGGTGTTATATACAGGATGTAATGTTCCAGATAGGATATGGTGTTATATACAGGATGTGATGTTCCAGATAGGATATGGTGTTTATACAGGTTATAGTGTTCTACGCAGGATATGTTGTTCCAGATAGGATATGGTGTTATATACAGGTTATAGTGTTCTACGCAGGATATGTTGTTCTAGTAGAATATGATTCTATGCGGGATATTGTGTTATACATATATTATGATGTTATACTTTATCTTTTTCCTCGTACATTTATATCATTTATAAACATCGACTTGTGGACTACAGAAGTTCTGTTCTATTCATAGGGTTTATTATTAATATTGTGTGTTTGTTTGAAAAAAGCCAGGATTATAATATTCCGAGTGGATATTAAGTAGTTTTAGTAGTATTATAATATTCCGAGTGGATATTAAGTAGTTTTAGTAGTATTATAATATTCCGAGTGGATATTAAGTAGTTTTAGTAGTATTATAATATTCCGAGTGGATATTAAGTAGTTTTAGTAGTATTATAATATTCCGAGTGGATATTAAGTAGTTTTAATATTATCATAATAAAAGGACAATGAAATATTATTGAACTCCATTACCACTCCGTTGTTTTACTTCAACATCTTTTTACCCAACATTAGTTGCTACAGATAATTTACATGTTAATGTTTCTTTATGTTATACAGCCCAGTCAAGAGCTCCCATTACATGTTAATGTTTCTTTATGTTATACAGCCCAGTCAAGAGCTCCCAGAATTACAGAGCATCCAAGAGATTTGCTGGTTAAAAAACAACAGCCTGCTAAACTCAACTGTAAAGCGGACGGAGAACCGACCCCGGTAATTGAATGGTATCACAATGGAAAACTGGTAGAAGGGACTTCCAATCGGATTGTCTTACCAAACGGTGGATCTCTCTTTTTCTTCATGTCTTACACGGGAAGAGGGACCAGGACACAGGGACTTACTGGTGCGTCGCGCGAAATAACCTGGGTGAAGCAAGAAGTCATAACGCGACGCTCGAGGTTGCAAGTAAGTTTTTCATATACATATGTATTGTCCAAACAAAAGAGGGGTATTGAAAATCAGCGTCAGAAAGTTTGAACTGAGTTCTAATATAAATATATATTAATCTACGCAAAGCAAGGGGAGTCATAATGTGACTCTAGAAGTTGTAAATGAGTTTATATACATATATGTTGATGTAAGCAACGTACGGGAGTCACGATGTAACTCTGGAGGTTATATATGTATTTTCATACATATATTGACATAAGCAAGGTACGGGAGCCACAATATGACACTGGAGGCGGTAAATAAATGTTTATACATAAACTAATGCAAGCATAGCTCGAGAGGGGAAATCATAATGTGACCTTAAAAGTTAAGAAGATCGTTCCATCGTTTCTCTGAATTATGACTAATACGTATAAATATATATAACTATGTCTAATTATGACTACTAAATAAATATATATATATGTATATTAACAATGTCTAATTATGACTACTAAATAAATATATATATATGTATATTAACAATGTCTGATTATGACTGACAAATATATATATATATATATATATCTATTAACAATGTCTAATTATGACTAACAAATATATATATATATATCTATTAACAATGTCTAA